CGCCGGGGTGGGGCGGGGGGGCCGGCGGGGCTCAAGTCTCAGCAGGTGTGAGTGGGGGGCTGAGACCTTTGTTCCTCCATTCGACCCCCACCCTGAACTCTCAGCAGCAACTCCAGGAGCTCCTGCCCCCCGGGGGGCAGGGGAGGCTCTGACCGCTGGGCTTCCATCCGCTGGCACTGGAGGAATGGAGGATGGGAAGGTGTTGGCGAGGGCGGAGGAGCAGGCCTGGAAGGGCTGGTGTGCAGGGCACACAGGACACCTGTGACTGCGATGGGGGGCTAGGGCCTGGGGAGGAGGAGGGATAGGGCCCCAGAGGACAGGGTCTGGAGACCAGGAAACCTGGGTCTGGCCTCCTGGCGGGTGGGGTGTCTCACCTGGTGACTGAGGATGGTGCTGTAGAGCTGTTCTTTGTCCTCCTGGGGCCGGGGTGGGGCTGGGGCTAGGTTTGGGGGACCCTGGGGGACCTGGAAGGTGGCTCTCTGCTCCTCTAGGCGGCGGGACTGGGCCTCAGCCACTAGGTCCAGAAGGAGCTCAGTCTGCAGGGAGAGCAGGGAGGCCGAGCGGGGTCCTAGGGCTGGGAGTGGGGGGAGGGCTCAGAGAGGTTGGCAGGGTGGGGGCCTGGGCAGGGACAGACAGGGTGAGGTGATGAGGGGCTGGCGGTCAGAGGTAAGGAGGTACAATGGGGAGTCCAGAGGATGTGGGGAAGGGGCCACGATGGAGTGGACCCTGGTCACAGGATTAGGAAGGATGCAGGCACCAGGGTCAGGGAACTCCCTGGATGGGTGGGGTACCTGTGTGGCGGGTCCCTGGAGGAGGGGATGGAGGAGCAGATCGCCAAGGTCGAACGGTGGTGTTTACAGGGGGCCAGCCATGCTCATCCCGAGGGGGGCCCTGACGCCGAGACACCCATTCGTCAAGCAGGGGCGGGCGGCCAGCGGCCGCTTCCTCTGTCTCTGTCCCCCCCAGTGTGCCCAAGCCCTTCCAAGTCCTGCGTCCATGGCCACTAGGTCTCTGCCTCAGGTCCTCTGGCCTCCCTTTCTCCCAGGGCCAGCCTCCCCCACCGGGTGCCAGCTCACCTGCTCCCCATCCTCTTCTTCCTGGGGTCTCTCAGCCTCCATGCCCTGGAGGGGAGAAACCGATGGGGGAGGGGAGCTGGGATTTGGAGGAGGGCTGGCACCGGAGCAGAGGCTGGGAAAAGCTCCTCCCGCAGCAGTGGAGGGGCTTCGAGGTGGGCAAGAACTCTTGGCCTTCCCCTGTCCAGAGCCTCAGTAGACCCCCACCCCACCACTCTGTTCCCTCCCCCCGCCTCCCCTCCAGCTCTGTCAACACAGGAACTAGCTGCACAGGAAGTGGTTTCACTCCTCAGAGCCCTCACCCCCAGGTCTCTCCTCTCCCTAAAATGTCCCCTGAGGGTAGGATTCAGCCCTCCCCTGCTTCCCAGCTCCCAGCCCCATTGGGATTGGGACAGGCATGGTTCCAGCAGGACTCGGATCCGGGGATGACAGGCCCTCAGACATATACATATACCGCCAGCACTGGTCCGACAGAGCGAGCATCAGTCACCCCCGCCCTCTCGGTGTTTGGTCTATTCAGTGGACAAGATGTGTCTCAAATGTGAGACATGGTCAGGGAAGGCTTTCCTCTGGTCATGAATGAGGGATGAAGGGAGAGGACCAACTCCCTGGCTTGGTCATTGATCTGTCCACACTGATCACCCCAAGCTAGAAGGACAGATAGACATTTGGAGCCTCGAAATGGAAACCTGTCATAATACGGGGTTTACAGCTGAGTGACTTCAAACACGAAATGTGATGAAGAGCTCTGGTTCTGCCACTTAACGCCTTATCATCTTCGCCATCCAGATAAAAATCTGTGCCTGTTTCTAAGAGTAAAATGGACCTAGCAGTTTTGGTAGACCTCACAGTTGGTGTGAGGATTAGATGTGATAAAGCATTTGGTACAGTGAATGCTCAATAAATGGTAGTTATTACAAGGCATACTGCAGAGATATTGCAGGATGGTTCCGGATCACTACAATAAAGTGATTATCACAAAAGTGAGTCAGATGTTTTGGCTCCCCGGTGCATGTTTAACAACTATACCGTAGTCTATTAACTGCAATAGCATTGTCTTAAAAAGAATAACCATGCCTTAATTTAAAAATACTTTATTGCTAAGAAATTTCCAACCATCATCTGAGCCTTCAGTGAGTCATAATCTTTTTGTTGGTAGAGGGTCTTTGCTTCAATGTTAATGAAAACACTTACATGCGAAGCGCAACAAAGTGAGCCCGTAAAGAGGAGGTACGCTTGTATCCGCTTTCAAAATGCCCCAAGCCTCCACGTCTCGGCCCATCGGCACCATGAGAGGTGTAACTACGCTGCTGAGAGGCGATCACACTGAGAGGCTCTCTGTCTGCCTCTACCAAGCTTGGGCTCCCGGGAGTCTCCTGCACGGCTAGAACTAAATGTCCTAGGAAGGTGGGCAAAGGGCGCAATGTGTGGCTTCTCTTCAGACTACTACACTCTTGTTTTCAGATGACACCCTAAATTAGCACAGGACCCCTAAGTCTTATTCTTGCTCTTAAACTATACTGAACGTCTCCATCCAAATATTGAATTTGGGCCCTAGCCGGTTTGACTCGGTGGATAGAGTGTCGGCCTGCAGACTGAAGGGTCCCAGGTTCGATTCTGGTCAAGGGCATATGCCCAGGTTGTAGGCTTGATCCTCAGTGGGAGGCATGCAGGAGGCAGCTGGTCAATGATTCTCATCATTGATGTTTCTATCTCCCCCTCTCCCTTCCTCTCTGAAATCAATAAAAATATATTAAAAAACAAAACAAAAAATATTGAATTTGGGACACAAAATTTGGAAGACAATGTAGTCACTCCCGTATTTTCTTCATTGCACTCCTCAAACCCTCCAAAAGAAGGTAACACTTTATACCAGCTTTATTCTCTGATGACAGATTTGGGGTTCTTAGAGAAAGTAGTGGCTAGAAGAGTGGCACCTCATCCCTGCAGTGGTGAGAATGCAAGGAGTCATCACCTGGAGTGGCCCTTGGTGCTCCCCCGACCCAGCACCTGCGATGCCTGGCACAGCAGGTGCTGAACAGATACTTGTCAACTGTTTGTAGGTGGTGGGGGGTGATTAAACGCTCCCTTCGGGAACCACATCCGGGAACCACATCCCGTGCAGGGAGAACATCTTACATCCCATCTGTGGGATGGTTCCAGTTCAGGGTACTAGCCCCCTCCACCCCCCTCCTGTAGCCCCTCACCCGCACTCCCTGGGCCCACTCCATCTCAGCACCTAACCCTCTGCAGGGCCGCATCTTCTCCACGTGGAAGACGATGACGGTTGAGTGGGCATGCACTCGTTTTGGGAGGGACGCTATATTCCCGAACCCTACTTCTGGGGCCCGAGGACTTTAAAACCTGGAGGCTTCCAGGCGGGCACTTAACGGAGCTCGCTTTTGGAATCCCACCCGGCCACTAGCCGCCTACTTTTGAGCTTCGCTTCCTGCATTTGAGGGTACTCCTGGGGGGGTTGGGGAGCCCCAGGCGAGGGGAGGAGACCCGCGCTCCGGGGACGGAGTAAGGCAAAGAGGCGGGCTCCGCGTGCTGGGGGCGGGGCCGCAGGCTCCCAGGGACACCCAATCACAGGGCCCGCCAGCGGG